CCCCCCCCCCCCGATCTCGTACCATTGCACATCACATCATCCAACATACGGGCGACAATGAATCGGTCTTATGGTACATGCAGGAGATTTGGGTGAAATACAACCGCTGCTTTCTACTCTTGAGCGATGGAAAATCGGCTATCAAGAGTTGGGCGTGCATCAAAAACAACACGAGGCTCTTGGACTCTATAACACTCGACCCGCTATGCACGACACGAGCGATACGCTAGTTTACACTCTGACAGAGTACTACGCATATGGCGGAACCCCTTCTACCGTAACAGAACATCCGCTCTAGTTTCTACAGATGGGGAGGTTACAAAGGCAACCCGCAGCAGACGCATAACCACCTCTCGACACCCACGAAAAAACACCCCTCGATGACACGCGATGGATGAGCCAAGTACATGCATGTGTGACACCAAACCACCCATCGTTACCTACAAGGACAACCAACGCCTTTCCATGCTAACAAGACAAGGAGAAGAATGGGCTACACATAACACGTGGAACATAATTCTGGACTCGGCAGAAACGTAAAACCAACGGTTTTCTGAGTCGGGAATATTGGACAAGAAGTTGTCTACAAAATATCAGTAGTAGTGATGCACCAATTCTCCGTTAATCGCCAGGGGATCATCAGCCCGACTTTAGAAAGCCGCTACATGCATGTTGCTTATCGCGTAGGAGAAAGCTACACGTCGGGTGTCCCCAACACTTAAAAGTCCTAGAGCAGTCGCAGGCACGGCACAAACATGCATGGATGCCTGCGTTCCACCTAATGGTGCTGCTGTTGCTGCACAACAAACAGCTTGCGCTCGGTCAGCGTGCGCGACACGGCACTTCTACAAGGCCTTAAAAATGGATAAAATAGAATACGCAGGACAACACGATGCGAACACTAACATGTGATTTGAGCACACCACATATAAGGGGGTCCCGTTGTCAGACAGGACCTGCGAGAAATAGTGACAAATGTCATCAACGAAAAACGACAAGGCGCAATATACCGTGGACTCTTGGCACTCATACTCGACAAGTATCTGAACAACACACAGCACGACCCCCCCAAGCTCGTCCGACAGGTTGTCAGTGAACCCCTTGAACAAACACACCGGACGGCAAAGCACGAACTGACGTTTGCTCCCACACATATTCCATACCGAAAGACCGGATGCACCCCTTTCCACCTTGTCCTGGCCCTTCTTCCCTTGTCTCCTCCGAAACGCTGCTGCAAACCTCGCCGGCCACACGGCTCCAGCCATGCAAAACCAAGGCAGGTAGGGCTATTCCTACTACTGTACACTGCAGCATCCTCCCTCGTACTTGCTCTTAGCCGAGAGCTGCTTCTTTCGGCTCTTGCCCATCCCCTTCCGGGGACGAAACTCGCTCATCCCCTCCCCCAGCATGGCATCTCCTAGCGCGCCGCGCTGGAAGCCGTCGTCGAGCCCGGGCAGGCCGCCCTTGCCCGGCTGCGCTCGCGCGCGATGCGCCGAGCACATCTTGACCTTTCCCGGGCTCCTGGAGGACGAGATCCTGTAAGTACCGTGTGCGCTCGAAACCCCGATGGGAACACCGTTGCTGTTGGAGGCGTGGGTCTGTCGGAGCATATCCCGTTGGCACTCGGGGCACTCCGCCTGCGAAGAAAATCAGGGCGTGGTCGTCGCGAATAGGGTCCGGCATCATGCCATCCGGCGGGTGGTGTATGAAGAATATACCGTCCATCGCGCAGGCGTTCATTGTATGTAGTGTTGCAGTGCCGCAACATAGAAGTTGAAACCCATCCAAGACATACCGACAACAACAGCAGCATCACAACTCACCACGGAATTTCGTTGCGATCGGATGAACTCCATTAACCCCGCTTCTTCCTCCGCTGCTCCTTTCGGTCTCGGCCGAACCACCTGTCATGCCGAACACCAGACCCGACCCGTAATCATGGCAGGCAGAAGGGGGAGCAAAGGAAACAGTTAATCGTGGGGGGGAAACGTAGGTGAATTGATTCAAGGGGCCCTTCGGATGGTGTTTTCGCAGCCGCGAGAACGTTCTGCCGTCTGTTGCAGGGTCGCGGATACTGTAAGGACAGGGCTATATACTCCATGGGAGGTCCCGCTCGATAGGAGGCCCCGGTCGCCTTGTGTTCTTGGTCTCTCTCCGCTACACGCTGCCACATACACCGGTCGCCCCGGTGGTCTAGTGGGTAGCCTCGCAGCCTGCTAAGGGCCAGGTCATGGGTTCGAGTCCCGACAGAGTGAGTTTTTTCTCGCTAATTAAATCCTGGTCTCCGTTGGAAGCGACGCGCTGCAACGTTAGTAAACTTGATCGACTTCATAAGTCGCGAGGGAAGGGATTGCTGTACCCTTCTCGCGAGAAAAACGTCTCAGGCAGGAACCGCAGGAGGGGGTCCAACCCCCCCCTACCATGTGACCCGGGTTGGGTCGTCTAGCTGGTAGAAGTGAAGGATAGGGGCCAGAAGGGCAGGCGACAGAGTCCAATGATGGGAGAAAAACAACAACAACAACATAGCCGATGATGCAAATGGTGTGGCTTCACTACGGAGCAGTGCGACTCCCGTGGCGGTGCCCCTCCACTACAAAGGTGTCCTTGAGGAGAGTTTCGGGTTTCGAGAAAGATCGAAAAATGCGGTTTGACTGCGGACCCCTTCGTGAATTACCCCTTCGTGAATTGAGATCCCCGAGATCGATCTCCGGGCAAACGGAAAAGCAAGCTGCAGCCGCGCTCCTTGTTCTTGGTGAACGGACGGGGAAGCAGTGTTTGCGATGACTGGTGAAGCGGGGTACGAGAGAAAGTTCAACAGCGCCCTTGCTGCCTCTGTCTAGCTGTCGGCTTCTGCCTGATGAGCATCATGAGGAATGAATACCATTAGCGATGACGTCACGTCCAGCACGTCACTGAGAGAACAGGGATATCGTCTCGAGGGTGTAGGTGTGCATGCAAGGACGACATCATGTTTGCCGCAGAGTCCCCATGCTGGGAGAAGACATAATGACAGCAGTATGTTCGCTGGCGTGCAGCTCCAAGTGTACCCGTCTTCAGAAGATCGGCTTCTATCGTGAACAGCAGCTCGGCTCGAAGCCAACCGCATCTTGCACGTTCAATGAGGACTCGCAAGGGCGTTCGACATACTACCAGATACCCTCGAACCCCGCCAGCAACCTGCCCCCGCTGGTGCTATCACTGATGTTGCCGCTGCTTACCGCTGGCGTTGGTCTGGTGTGGGAGGTACAATCGGAGCCCTCCTCCGAAGGCTGGCTTCGAGGCGCCAGCAACTCCTGCATGCTAGCCTTTACCGAGTCTTCCACCCATGGGGCAGCCACCTGCTTGTTCGCGTTCGCACGTTCGCACGTGCGCGCGTACGACACGGCAATAAAAATATTGACGAAATGCCGGGAAACCTAGTTCGGTTTCAGCCTGGGAATTGGTTCAAACGAGACTATCCCAAAACGTTTTTGCTCTTCAAAGTCGTGAAAAGCAATCACAAAACACGGGCAGGGCATGGGCAGACACAAAGCTCTCGTTGTGCCTGGATTGTGTCTGGCCAAGCGGCGCTTCGGTACGACCGTGTAGGTCGCGTGACACAAAGAGGAACGGGGAAACAACTTGCCTCGTGGCGATCCGTACGTCGCATACGCCTCTTTTCATTCAACACAGAACCAGACAATATCCGAACCGGCTGCCTAGACGACGCCTGTCCATCCACCTTTCGCTCTTGTACAAATCGAATAGGGTCAGGGATGACAAGACTCCGGGTACGGTTGCTGCAAATAAGGCTGATGGGCTTCGGCAGACACCAAAACTTTCGCGTCGAGCATGCATAGCGGCAAAAACTACGCCAACACGAGGTGGAGGAAGAGTCGCATGACTAACGTACAGAACGGACGCACCTCTGCCGGCAAAGCGCCGGCCTCGTTCTTAGCAGTGGCATCTGCCCCCCACTCCATCAATAGCTTCGCGTTCCCCAGAAGTCCCCGATCGCACGCCAAGTGCAATGGGGTATTCCCAGCAACTATTCAGCACAAGGTTAAACGGTGGGGAGGCAGGCGCAAGTGGGGGATCGAGGGGGCGAGAAAATCATAAAAAAAATGGGCTGAGGCTATGGTCAGAGGGTGCGCAAACAGACCTGGGGAGCAAATTCCGTGAGCCAAGGTTGCAACCGGAGCGGGGCTTCCGAAACTTGCCAAGCCCACAAAGTGCCACAAGCGTTGGAGGGCAACAACGATTGACACGCGTCTGCCGCGTGACACTGTAGTCTAGACAAACTGGCGTGTTCAGGTGTAGGGGTGTGGAGCGCGATGTGTTTCCGCCAATCGGCACTTTAGTGCTGTGTGCTCCCCGGAAAGAAGGACGAACCGGGTATGACACAAAAAAACGATATGATGATCTGCGTCCTATCATCGTACAGTATTAGTATTCGGTATCGAGCGATCGCTCACCGGTCTTGGCATCCAAGTCGGCGCCATTGTTGAGCAGAACGAGCGTGGTCTCCAGCCCTCCCGATCTGCTCGCAAAGTGCAACGGGGTTCGAGCCAGCTCTTTGTCTCTAGCCTGGCGAGGGAAGGGAAGGGAAGGGAAGGGAAGGGAAGGGAAGGGAAGGGAAGGGAAGGAAAAAACGCGGGGAGGTTCTGGTCTTCACGTCGGGTGGCTGGCGTTGGTCATGGTTGTTCATGACCATCACAAACAAATAACTGCCCTCGCCTCCGCGGACCACCATGCATATCTCTCCCCGGCGCCTGTCTTTGTACCGATCTATCTCTCTCTCCCACGATGCTATGGTCAACAGAGGCGGATAAATCCTTCTTCTGCGGTCGCGGGAGAGCACAGACGTCAAGTATAGTATGCCATTACGGAACGAGCCAAAAAACACGCGCACAGCAAGGCGGGGTTGGAAGAACATGGTATATCAACGTTTCCCCACGGCGGGCATCAATACAACGCAGACGTTTTACCTCAATGTCAGCGCCAGCTTCGAGGAGCATGGTGGAACACCCCGGTGATCCCCATCGAGCCGCCCGGTGCAACGGGGTTCTCCACGTCTGGTCTCGCGCATTCGGATCGGCTCCGGCCTCAAGAAGCGCCTTATATATTTATTTTTTTATTCATTATGTTTTCGAGGGACCGAGGGAACAGGAGAAAGGAGAAAGTTACTACAAAGGCGAGGAAAAAACGTTGGTCGGTCCTTTGGCCACACAGACCCATCTTGAATCCAACCCACACTCGAGAAACGCACCAGTAGACGTGACCAGACCAAGAACGGTCCAGTCCAACTCCCATGGATCAAGCATAGTTCCTCGAAAAGATCGACACGGAGTCTCGAGGTTTCACCGCCCCCAACATGTGTGGGTAGCGTGTATGATGCGGTTCAGTGGGGGTCTCGGAACCACGCACTTTTTGCGCCGGATCCGCGAGGCTCGAGAAATAACCCCATCGACCGGGATTCACAACACTATACTGTACACGCCATCAGCAAGTTTCCGCTTGGTTGCTGCCTCCGGCACTAACGCTGGCTTTTTGCAGCACGTGGATTCCCTCTACTCGCTCAAAAAAAAAAACAGGTAAATCTCTCAGGGGGAGAGAACGCTTGCCGAAGCAAGTGTTCCTTTCAATCTTAAACAAGACCCACAGCAGGGCTCCCTGCTCACGAAAAATCACGAACCAGCCACAGAAGTCATAATTAACCAACACGGCTGCTGCAAACGGAACACCAAGTTGTGCTCTGGTTGAGACAACACACACGCAGCAGCAGCAGCAGCAGCAGCAGCAGCAGCAGCAAGACAGCACACGTGATACCCACCTTTACGACGTCGGGGTTGCAGCCCGAGCAAGCGCGGTGGAGCGGGGTCCTGTCCCTCCCGTCCCTCGCTGTGGCAGACGCCCCTCTGGAGAGCAGCAGTCGGGCCAACTCCGTGTGTCCCCGTCTGGACGCCCAGGCCAGCAACGTCTGCACCAATAGCAACACCAACACCGACAGCAGAAAACAGCGACAGCAGTTCGGGTGGTATCGGCACCCCCTGAATTGTGGAGCAAAGAAGCTTCAAAAATTGCGACCACACACGCACCCGTCCTTTCAACTTTCAAGTGCGTCCTGCGTGTTGGTTTCCTTATTGGCGAGACACATGAAACACGCCTCATTCGAAAGTAATCTCAAAGCGGACACGCGACAAACAGAGGAGCAAACAAGAGTTCGCCAACCATAGACGTTCAAGTTCTTACCATCCCCCCCAGGGAGTCGCGAAGTTCGATGTCCCCGCCCCCGTCCAAGAACGCCTTCATGGCGGCCAGATCCCCCCCCTGAGCCGCCTCTATCGCACGATCCTCGTCGCTCAAGAAGCTCGCCTTTCCGTTTTGGTTGTTCCTGTCGGAACGCAACAGCAACAAAGAGGGAGGGGGTATAAGACACAAAAAGCGGTGCAAAACATGTCCAAGTAGAAGGCATAACTCAAGCGCGGGGCAAAAAATAGGTACATTGGATGAGTGCAAATATAAAAAGAACAGTCAGCGGCGGTGGGGGCAGCAGTGCAGAAGTGTTCCTACAGCAGCGGCGGCGATGGCAGACACGCTACCAGTAGAAATACAAACAGCAATAGTAGAAGGAGTGCAGTCCCAGTGATCGGGGTGCCATCAGCAACGACTTAACCTCATGCCGTTGGCAGCACCTAGCATACGCTGGCAACTTGATAAGGACCCCATAGCGTGTGCCAGGCTTCCGTCTACTCTGTGTTCACTCACGTCGCCCAGTCTGCCGACCGAAGAGACTCTTCATCGTCGTTCGCCCCCTGCCCCGGAGTCCCCGCACTGGAAGCGCCTTTCAACTCCTGTCGCCTCAGCCCCTCACCAGCCACCCGGATCTGCGAAGACCCCTCCTCGCCACGCTCGCCCCCCTCTCCCCTTCTTCGCGCAGCGTCGGCTTGATCATTCCCGAAAATGGTGTCGCCGCCTTCGTCCCCAAAGGTTGACCACGATGCGACACGGGTCACGGGAATGCCAGGGCCGTAGTCTCGTCCGGCCCGTCCTCTGCCGTCGACGGGCACAGGCAACCCCGCCGCCGCGGGCGCAGCGAGGGCGGGATGATCCCGAACCGTCCCCGGTGTAGAGCCCGCCCCCACCTGCAACTCCCCTCCGGTTGCCTCCGCAGGGAAAGCAGAACCGTGAGGGGGCTTCGGCGCAACTCCCCCGGGCGGTCTAAGAATGCCCCCCCCTGGCGCTGCCGCTTTTTCGACGCCACTACCATTCGTAGCAGCAGAGGCCGGAGTCGATGCTCGGCGCCTGGGCGAGGAGACTTCCGCGCAGCCCCGCTTGAGACGGGAAGAAGAAGTGATGTGTTTCTGGTCGGGAGTTTTGGGGCGCAGTCCGGAATACGGCCCAGGAACTACTGTTGCGGGGGAACTGACTCCTGGTTCGATGAATTGTGGGAACGGGGGCGGGGCGGGGGGCGGAGCACGGGGGGTTAAGACTGCGGAGTCACGTCTTGGAAGAGTTGGGTAAGCTAGGGGGGTGCGGGCGTCATCGCCCAAGCGTGTACGATGGTTCTTGGAAAAATTTCGGTCCTTGTCGAATGTACAAATCAAGGCCACTCCTGTGGGATATCTATCTCCTGTTTGTGCAAGAACCCCCGACTCACTGCTGTGCAAAAAAAAATCGTCCAAGTCAATTGACACATCCTCCGTGCCATGCCTCCAGAACGCCCCTGCACGATTTGTACAAGGAAGGTCCTTGGGTGGTGCACTGGTGAAAGCCACCGCTTCTGGCAATGGTAGCACTGGTAGCGAAAATCACCTCGGCTTAACCTCGGTTTAACCCCAAGAAACTCAACAACAAGATGCCTCGTATTCTGGCCCACATCGTTAATAGTACAGCGTTTCTGCCACACAAACTCTGTGCTTGTCATCATTATACATTGCGAGCACGCGATCGCCCGGCACCGAGTGCGCGACATCTCTCTCTTGTCTCCCAGACGGTCGCCACTAAAAACCACAAGCGAACACCCCACTTACCGCGTGGGTTGCCGAGGTCCTGCGGCAACTCTCCGCGCTCCTGCTGCTCCCCAGCCGCAGCAGCGAGCGATTGCACATCCCCGCTGCTCTGTCTGAAGGTCGACGTTCTCGACGATTTTCTCGCGCTCAGCCCCGCCCTCATATCTGCCTCCATCATTAACCCGACGCCCGCATCAGTTCCCGAAACCTCACTGCCCGAACCGCTTCCGTCCATGCCTTCACCTTCTTCCTCCTTCTCAGCAGCAGCAAAGGGGGCGGAATCGAAGCCTTCGACGACGATTTTCTCTTCCTCGGATGCGCCCCGGCTGCAGCTGTTGCAGCGGCTGCTCCTGCTGCTGCCGCTGCAGCTAGAGGCCTTTTCGGTTGTGGCGGAACCGCCGTGGGGCTTCGTGAAGTCCTGTTCGCTGGCGGCGCAGCCGCCCGAACCGCCGCCGCACGCGGTGTCGTCCATTGTCGTCACTGCCGCCCTCAGAGGAGGGAGCACATCGGCGGGACATCCTGCCTGACTTGTCGGAGGAGACCCAATATAGGAGGGAGTCGTGCCGCCGCCGCGGCCGCTCGGTGTACACGGTATAACCGTCTTCGTCGCTGACGCTGCTGCGACTACTGTTGTCGGGGATGATCCATCGCCAAGCGCAGGCTGTTCTACCAACGCCGGCGTCGGCTGTGCCATCAACAGCACGCAACACCGCCGTCGCCCACTTTCTTCGCTACCCGCAGAATAAGCACTCCAGGTTGCCGTCAAATCCGGTATAGTGTTCTCGTTCTTGAACGGCTTTCTCGCTTGTCCCCGCTTTGTCGCTCGCCGCCGTCTACTGCTGAGCCGGCAAACCACAGGTACACGGTAGTTGTCGATGAGCAAATACACAACCGCGACAACACCGCCAGTACGGTGCGAGCGGTCCCCAGTTTCCGCACACTATTTGAGCGTTTCCGGCTTCCCCAGGTCCCGGCCTGAGTGTGTACGTACACGTAGGAGGAGAGCAAGGGACTACTGGGTACGGGAGACGGGTGGGTACGCGGGTGGGGAAGGGGGGGAGGGGGGGCTATTGCTCGCCATTTGGGGTGTTCACGTCGCACCCTGTTCGAGAGGGAGCAGCGCTCTTATAATCTTAATTCTAGATAGAAAGAGGTAGAGACGGACCTCGCCAAACGTTCGGACGCTCTCTGCACGCTTATGCCAGATCTGACGGCAGGACTTACAGCAGTGCGTGTACCGCTGACTAGATATGTACATCTTGTGTGGCAAGGGGCTCACCGGCACGTGATCGCCAGGGCAGGGAGGGGAGTAACGCCAGCTAAGGCCATAGCTGCATGGGAGAATAATTTCGTTTTTATATTAAAAGAGTGCCTAACCCCTGTGTAGCTGAGGCTGCTCTCTGCATTTGAGTTCCAACGCCAACACCGAAGCCGGTTTAGGTAGATACCCCAAGATATATCGGGACGCAATATCGCAGGCAGGTCGCCCGGGGGCATTCTTGAAGAGGACCCTCCAATGCCGAGCAAAGGCGTGCGGAAAGCTGCTGGTGAGCACACACCAACAGAAACGGTTGAAAATGGACCGTCCACTTGAACATAATAGCGCCTTAATAGAGTAACCACTGCTGTGGCGAACATAGCACCATTATAGTGGCAGCCCCAACAAGCCGACAATCTATATGCATGTATGTGCATGTAGACGAAGTAATTCCGCGCAAAATAGTGGAACCACAAGCCAAGAAGGAGTGAACATGAATAATACCGTATATGACACGAGATAACACACCTCCCCCCCCCCCCGGTCTTGCCATCAGGGTTGGGTTTTCGTCGCTTGGCAACGACGTTGTAAAACAAGCCGCCCCCCCGGTGTTTGCCATCGGGGTTGGGTTTTCGTCGCTTGGCAACGACGTTGTAAAACAAGCCGCCCCCCCGGTGTTTGCCATCGGGGTTGGGTTTTCGTCGCTTGGCAACGACGTTGTAAAACAAGCCGCCCCCCCGGTGTTTGCCATCGGGGTTGGGTTTTCGTCGCTTGGCAACGACGTTGTAAAACAAGCCGCCCCCCCGGTGTTTGCCATCGGGGTTGGGTTTTCGTCGCTTGGCAACGACGTTGTAAAACAAGCCGCCCCCCCGGTGTTTGCCATCGGGGTTGGGTTTTCGTCGCTTGGCAACGACGTTGTAAAACAAGCCGCCCCCCCGGTGTTTGCCATCGGGGTTGGGTTTTCGTCGCTTGGCAACGACGTTGTAAAACAAGCCGCCCCCCCGGTGTTTGCCATCGGGGTTGGGTTTTCGTCGCTTGGCAACGACGTTGTAAAACAAGCCGCCCCCCCGGTGTTTGCCATCGGGGTTGGGTTTTCGTCGCTTGGCAACGACGTTGTAAAACAAGCCGCCCCCCCGGTGTTTGCCATCGGGGTTGGGTTTTCGTCGCTTGGCAACGACGTTGTAAAACAAGCCGCCCCCCCGGTGTTTGCCATCGGGGTTGGGTTTTCGTCGCTTGGCAACGACGTTGTAAAACAAGCCGCCCCCCCGGTGTTTGCCATCGGGGTTGGGTTTTCGTCGCTTGGCAACGACGTTGTAAAACAAGCCGCCCCCCCGGTGTTTGCCATCGGGGTTGGGTTTTCGTCGCTTGGCAACGACGTTGTAAAACAAGCCGCCCCCCCGGTGTTTGCCATCGGGGTTGGGTTTTCGTCGCTTGGCAACGACGTTGTAAAACAAGCCGCCCCCCCGGTGTTTGCCATCGGGGTTGGGTTTTCGTCGCTTGGCAACGACGTTGTAAAACAAGCCGCCCCCCCGGTGTTTGCCATCGGGGTTGGGTTTTCGTCGCTTGGCAACGACGTTGTAAAACAAGCCGCCCCCCCGGTGTTTGCCATCGGGGTTGGGTTTTCGTCGCTTGGCAACGACGTTGTAAAACAAGCCAATTCACTTCGTGAACTCGGCAACCAGGTTACCGTTTTTTTTTTTACCTCCGTTTTTTTTTTGGCGGTAACCATAATGGTGGTCGAGTAGATCATGTTGTGCGGGGGGGAGAACCCTCACTCCGCGCAAGGGGGATGATCGCACCACGTTGTGTTAAAATGGTCAAGCACCCTCGAGGCAGTTACACAGTGCTTACAACTGTCTCTGGAAGTGAAAGCACCAGAAAATAAATTAATTCATACGCAGCTGTCATCCGTACGCAAGGAAGTAAGCACAACCACTATGGTATTCCTACCCGATTCTTTTTCCTTTCTTTGCAGATAACGCGGGGTTTGAGCAGACAAACACAACGGCGCCTTTCAAAAAAGAAAAAATCACTTGATTAGTATGTATATGGTACGTATGTGGGCATGATTTTCAAAAAAATTGGTTCAGAGTTTTTTTCGGCTTTATGTCCAACAGGTTCGGAAATGGAACCGCTGCAACAAAATAGAACAGAAAGAGGGCTTCAATTATCTGCAACTTTTTTCTGCGGGGTCGACGTGGTTGCTGAGATATGGTGGATTCAGTGGGGTGAAGTGTCTTCTGGGCGGTAATAGGTCCGTAACTTTTTTGCCAGAGCAAACCCGCACTTTCTGAATGGCTCATTCGAACGTCCCTGGCGAGAGCTTTCTGACATTTTTTTTTTTTTCCCAATTTTTGGACAACCCTTTTTTTCTTATTGGTGCACCCCAAATCGGCGTCACAAAATCTGGCACTGTATGCAAGCCACCACATTGTGAAGACTGGGACCATAAGTTGATTTGAGTCTGTTCGGGTCCACCATCGCAAGTCCATTCTGATCGCGCCGTAGTGATGACCCCCGTGTACAGAACGAGCCATGAGATAACAACCGTTGAAATCGGGTCGAGGTTCGACTGGTTATCTTCCTATGTCGTCGCCAATGTCGAGTACAGGCTGTTATTTACTTCGAAAGTAGGCTTTCGGTTAGGATCCGCCGCTGAGTCATGTACGGTCCTTAACTTCCTTTCTTATATTTCGCGTAGATTTTGAGCCCCTTGTTTCTTAAAAAAGTACTTCGATTAAGTGGTGTATTGGTCTTCATCAAGCCGCGCTGAAACCAAACAGGCAGGTACTCATTGCCACGCCGGTGAGTTATGTTTGTTTCATAGAACTTCCTTTCCTTCGTGTAAATTTTGGGCCCCTTGTTTCATAACAAAGTACTTATACAAAGTGGTGTAATGGTCCTCATCAAACCGCGCTGAAACCTAACAGGCAGGTACTCATTGCCACGCCGCTGAGTTATGTATGTTTCTTAAAACTTCCCTTCGTGTAAATTTTGGGCCCCTTGTTTTCAACGAAGTACTTCTACAAAGTGGTGTAATGGTCCTCATCAAACCGCGCTGAAACCTAACAGGCAGGTACTCATTGCCACGCCGCTGAGTTATGTATGTTTCTTTAAACTTCCCTTCCTTCGTGTAAATGTGGGCCCCTTGTTTTCAACAAAGTACTTCTACAAAGTAGTGTAGACTAATGGTCCTCACCAAGCCGCGCGGAAACCAAACAGGCAGGTACTCATTGCCGCCCACTATTGCTGTAGATACGAAACCAAAGGGCATCACAGCCTCGTGCTGCAGTCTACTGGTTTCACAACGTACAGCAGAGGGTGAATCTTCCAAAAGGGGCGGGCGGGACGCGAGACATTTCGACCGATCACGCTTTTCGATTGTTCCATTCCGCTCTTGAAGAGAGAGGCGAGCAAACTCCCTAGGTGCTGTACTTGGCTGCTGTATTTGGCCTCAGGGCACGGAAGTGTGTCCACGTCAGTTGGAACCCGATGTTAGAAGGTACCGGGGCGGAGCGCGGAACAGATAACAATCAACAGCAACGAGCACGGTAGCTTGTGGCATGGTTGGCTGGAAAGGACGGAAAACTTGGATTGTCTCAAGGAAACAATCGCCCTTGGTCAGAAACATCTAGAAACATGACAAAAGTGGGTCCTGTATGGACACGCGTGCACACGCGTTGACAAATAAAAGGCTCTCCCAAGAGGTGGCATTTTCACAGTCACACCGCTGGTTGTAGCGCCCACCTACCTCTGATTATGAGCATGGGTGCAAACAATCTCATGGTCTGATATTAGTCTGCACACGATGTCAGAAGTTCACGTGCGTTCTTCGTCTGCAGTCTGAAAACTACGCCGTGCGGGCGAGGAGTGGAAAGATGTCTCCCTGCCACCCTGGGCGTGGAAGCCAGCGGCACGCTTGAGCTTCAAAGCACCCACCCATACACACACCGGCAAGTGCAAAGAGGGATGGGTGCACTTCTCCGTGCTCCTCCACGTTACGCCTTTCGTAGTTTGCCCGCGTGACACAGGCATGACACAGGCATGACACAGGCATGACGAATGACGAACAACCACGCAAACGGTCCGTTCGCGCATCCGGCGTCATGCTGTCCAGCAAGTTGGTTGTTGCCGTCGCCCAAATTGAACATCCATTTTTATCCTTAGTATGCTTACGCACATCCATCCCAAATACAAATGAGCTCTCACAGAGTGTGGGGGGGACGCTGCTCTTAGCACTCACGGCACGACTGCAACAGCCCATGCACATTGGGATCTCGGTGGAGGGACGCAACCTTGAGTGCCGCGCCCGCCAAGCTTCCTTCAGTCCTTGAGCTCACTCTCAAATCGAGCAATCAAACTCTCTCATGATACGGCCGTTGCTTGGTACAGCAGTGGAGCTGCCCGGCACAGGCAAAGGTGTGCATCTCTGCAAGTGAGATCGCGCTGTGTGTCAGCCATCACTACTACGACGGCGTGTGCGGAAAGGAGGGCGATGTAGGCGTGGGGGCTAGAGGCACACCGGTTGAGCGCCGCCGTCCTCTCCGAGAGCCCCATGCACGGCAGCTGCTCCAGCTGGAGAGGGCTACAAACTTTACTCAACAGGTTGAACCAATCAGGGCACCCACAACACACCTGTTAATCCTGTACTCACAACACTGGGCAGTCGCAGCTGTTGCTTCGGGCTCCCGGATGGACCGTGCCACACCTAGCCTCTCTCGTACTTAACAAGTTTCTCTGTCTCTAACCATGGGAGAGAGACATGCACAGCAGCGGTGGCACAGCAACAAGCGGACAACAGGACCGGGGACCGATGGGGGATCTGCAGATGCTCCAAAGCCTATAAGCCTGCATGCTTGCTGCGTACCCCGAAACGGAATTTGAGAGTTCTTGTGTTTTTGGCGGGAGTTTTCGACTACACGAGGCACATGTGGTACCCTGGGTCGGCTCGAAAATACACACACACCGACTGCGGAGAGTAACCATGCAATGGTGCAGAGACGAGTAGTTGCCTATTCATGAAGACCGCTAGACGACTGCCGTGCATCCGAGAACAGTCATCTCGCGCTCTTCGACGTCGAACACCTGAGGCGTGGTTCGCTCTTGTAAAGTGAGTGGCCTAAATGCCCTTTTGTAAAAAACTTCGTTCGGCCACGACTGCTGCTCATCGGTGCTTCTGCCGGGGCAACCGTGTTCGCAGATGGGTGGAAAGCGCGTCGGATCCACAGCAAAGATCGATAGCTCGGTTCCTTTTGGCTTTCTGCTTGGTGAAAGATACTCCGGCTACAAACAAGCGATCAACACGTCGAGAATCCTCAAGGTGCGGTATCATGCGGTAATGGTAAGGTTGTATGTACCACCAGCAATGACTGGCTTGGTCCTAACTGCTGCAGGCTGTATTGTAGCATCACCCGACAGTCACTACTTGTATGCATTATACAGCTCGATATGCTAGAGCCGTGATATCGTCGACCACCCAAACAAATGGGCTGACGCGTAAGAACGGGAGCTCAGCACGGCGGTACATGGGTAGCTTCATTTGCACAGCACACATGAGGGTGCAGGCAAACAGCACATGCTTTAAAGGTGTGACAGGGTTGAGCGCACATCATTGAATGCGCACTATTATATCTGTCACCTTCATCTATTCATGGGCAACATCTCCAACCAAGTTATTCATTTTTTCTCGAAGTGTGTGGATCGTTCGAGCGAGTGTTCACGGCCGTCTGTCTGAGTACGGACAGCAGACGCCCAGACAGACGACTGTACGAAGGACAACGATATTCAATTTTGCAAGGGCTACGCCCAAGAAGGCTACCACGTTGCAGGATGTCAACGAACCGAACATGAAGACCATACCGCCGGATGTACTTTGGCACAATTTTAATTCACGAAAGAAAAACAACAGGCTGTGGCACACGCCGGCCGTCTTAGAACTTCGGGCAAGAAGCACTCCTCGCAGCGTTGCGCACTGACACCCGAACGTCTCACGTTCAAACTTCAACATAAGATTATGTGGCCGCTCCCATTCGCGGCGGCCGTGCAGCCGATGCCGTCGAAACTTCCGAAGCTCTTCTGGGGGCTGTCAACCGAGCAGCGGCGTGTTCTGGCGGCACGGATGCTGGAGGCCGGTCACAGCGGAGACGCCCTGGAACGTGCGATTCGGTTGGCAATTTGGGGAGAATCGTCAAGCCGAAGAAGGTTGGTTAGATATCGCGTCGTGTTCGCCGTCGTTGGTTCTATGAGTGGGCCGACGGCCTAAGATACCGTAGAGCTCACAGGCTCGCCGCCTGACGGCCTAGCAGAGCGTGAAGCTCACCCGTGCATCCCCCCCCCCCCCCCCCCCCCCCCCCCCCCCCCCCCCCCCCCCCCCCCCCCCCCCCCCCCCCCCCCCCCCCCCCCCCCCCCCCCCCCCCCC